CTAAGCGGCGGACGTTCTTTCCCTGTCTCATAATCCGTACATTTTTTCACGTGGCGATGGACACTCCAGAATAGCCAACGTCAGGTGAAAGTACGCTCATATTCTCTGGTACGTCCACCTGATGCACTAGTGACCTCCTTCCAGACTAGCGAGATAAAGATGCAAAATATTTCTTACAGATTTTCCTGAACGACGTGCTTCCCAGCCAGATCACGCTCTTGGCCGAATTTCCTCGCGTGTGGACAGTAGAAGAACAACCAGCCCTCCTCGACGGCGTAGTCATCGGTGTCCAGCTTCCCCGGTTCACGTGATAAGTATGTCTTCAGATCCACGATCCACATTTCCTTGTTCTGTGCGTCACAATGCAAACCTCAAGTAAGATCCTTAGTACAGTGAAAAAGTCTTCGTTGTAATTCTTATTTTGGCAAAGAATATCGTTTTATCGTAGTTAATGGAAAGGATTTTTATATTTCTTATGCAATTGAAAATAATTGTCGTGATAATTATCAATCAGCCAAAAAGCCCTCAAGAAATTGAAATGTGTGCTTCTTAAGGGTTTGTGCTGCCTCGCTATTGTCGTGAGGTGTTTAAAGTATACTTGAAACACTGAAATGCTGGTATAAATATTGTTTCTAGCCGTCAATGGAGCCAGACTTAGCATTCCCTGACGCACTTGGCAGCAGTATCATCACAGAAGTAACCATCTTCTTCTGAGACATGCGATGTGGAGTCGATGACAACGACGCGGAACTGAATGAGGATACTAAAGGGCGCTAGGATATTATGGTTGCGGCACTTTTGAACAAGCGAGTCATCTGTTCCTTGTGACGCTCTCCGAAGTTCAACGAAGACACAGTATAGCGAGTCGCTATTGGGCGCTTACCAAACTTGCTGATGTAGGCAACATATCGAAGACCAAAAACCACATCAAAATATTAAAGTCGAACAGGTAGTATAGGATGATGGTAGACAGTATGACAATGGTATCCGACCAGATGGCATATTCCGATTAAATACACTTGACAAACACAAAACTCAAAACAAATTTTGACAGTTGCACGCAGGGCTGTGGAAATATAGATTGTATATTGATTGTAGTCTCTGACCTCAAACAACCAATTATTGCAATCTTTAACAATCGAAGATGTGTATATTGCAATATATTGTTTTGATCTATACTCCACCTGCTATTAGATTGCATAATCGCTTTAGATACGCCCACAAGCGTGACTAAGTACCAGTTGAGGTTTAGAAACATGATGACTTCTAGAGTATCTTGACTCATGCCTTTGCGCAAGTAGCCCACAGTGCTCATGACTTTAGAAAAAAAAAGGCGTTCCGCAGCTACCGACACAGGTGGAATCCAACTCGCATCGATAAATGTTGATTGTGGTCCACTGCGCTTGAGAACATTCTTACTAATCATCTCATCGAGCACATCGGCAGCACGTTTACGCTCTGA